TCTTAACCGCTGAGCCATCTCTCCAGCCCTCTTTGTCTTTTTTTGAAAACCTTTAAACATTCTACCCTCTGAAAGCCAGGCATGCTGGTACACACCTTTGATCCCAGCACTCAGGAGGCAGGGGCAGGCGGATCACTGTGAGTTCGAGGCCAGGCTGGTCTACAGAGCGAGTTCCGGGACGGCCAGGGCAGTTATACAGAGAAACCCTGTCTTGGGGCAGGGAGTGTGCATTCCTCCACATGTTCATTGCTGTGGGAAATGTCAGCTGCTCCTCAGTGTGCTGTGCTTCTCGCCATCAGAGGATTCATCTGACACAGCTGTATCTAAGACAGAATCTACCCTGGAAATTTCCTGCCACCTTGTGGCTGAGAAAAGTCAGTCCATAGCACATGTTTCAGAAATACATGTTTATTTTAAGCTTAAATCTTGTATTACTATGTAATGTAATAAAAGTTTGAAGGTTTGTGAAAGAGAGGTTTCTCTACTAGAGACACTGACGTCTCTGGGTCTCCTCTCTCAGGGGGCAACATGAAGCTTCTCACATGCTGCTCTCTGGGTGTGTGTATGTGTGAAAGAGAACCTGTAGGTGTGTAAAGAAGAACCTGCTAGTTGTGTAGGCATTTGGACTTCACTCCCGGCTTTTCTATTTTTATTTACTTATTTATTTTTGTTTTACGAGACAGGGTTTCTCTGTATTGTTTTGGAGGCTGTCGGTCCAGCCCGGCCTCAACCTCACAGAGATCCACCTGCCTCTGCCTCCCAAGTGCTGGGATAAAAGGCATGTGCCACCACCAACCGGCTTTGCTTAGATTTTTATTTCTGTTTTTATCAGAAAACACAGCCCAGGCAAACGGATGTAGCCCAGTTGGTAGAGTGCTTGGGTTTGAGTCCCAGCACTGTATACATTGATGTGGTGTACATACATGTAATCCCAGCAGGTCATCCTTGCTACAAAGCAAGTGGGAAGCCAGTTTACATGAGACCCAGTCTCAAACTAAAACAAAACCCCAGAATTGTCAGAGCTTTGAGTCCATCTTTGCAGAATGCTTTGTAGCTCATGAAGTTAACATTGCAAGTGTTTGAAGTAACTTGACTAAGAGCTGTGAGCTATGTAACAAGACCCTGTCTCAATAACAACAGATCAAAAACAGAAGAAATGAAAGAAATAGGCCACGCAACAAGATAAACAAATTTCACGTCATTCAGAAATAAACAGATTTTCCACCTATGTAGTCTTTGTCCTATATATATTATAGTGTTCAAATTTGTTTTACTGCAGTGTTTTGTGGGTGTTTTCTTTCTAAGTTATGCTTAGTTATTTGCATGTATACATGCATGCACATGCTATGGTGTGTGTATGGAAGTTGGGACAGCTTCCGAAGAGTCCAGTCCACCCTCTGGGCCCTGGGTCCAGGTCTTGGACCCTTGCTGGGACCTGGAACTCACTGAGCCCCAAGGATCCACCTGTTACCTCTGGCTGAGATTGCAAGTGTGTGTAACCATCCCTGGCCGTGTATGTGGGTGCTGGGAATCAAATGTAGGTCCTCATGCTTCCATGGCAAGCACTGTATGACTAACTGGCTTCTGAGCCCTCGTATTGGTTTTTGTTTTCCTTTTAGAAACAGTTTAGTCTCGGAGCCCTTTGTAGGTAAGTGATGGTGCTTTGTCCGCAATTAAGATACATTTGTGCAATGGTATTTCTAGGATTTTGGTGGTTTGTGCTCAATTAATTATCGGCCTCCAATTCTTGGTATGCCTCCCTGTTCTCTGCAGCTGCCACTGATCCACAGCAGGCATAAAGGCTTATATGATCCACAGGTGTAAGGCTGGGAAAGCCAAGATTCCGTGGCTATGTCTGATGAGGAATCTTTTGGGGTTTTTGTGTTTGTTTTGTTTTGTTTTGTTTTGTTGGTGGTGGTTTGACAGGAGAACGTCCAGGGTTGATTCTGTCTTCCATTGGAATCAAACCCAGGTCTTCAGTCTTGGGCTAGTAAGTCACAAACACCTTCACCCACTGAGCCATCTCGGCAGCCCCTTCTGATTTAAAATAGTAACTGATCAGAAGCAGGGTCTAGACAGTAAGTACATACAGTGGCTGAGACTCCTGAGCTCCATTGGGGGTTATGCCAGCTCCTCTCTCGGGTCTTACAGGAGGAAAACTGAAAATACTACAGCTCTCTTTCATGCACTGGGCAGATCACCACCACCACCACGTGACGGAGCTGAATGGCACACCGTGTGCATAGGGAGATTCCAGCCGTTGACTTAAAATCCATAAACGAAGGAGCTTTAGCCATTGCTCTGCAGCTAGATGACTCCTGTCCCCTGTTCTGGCATGGTTTGCAGCACTGTGGTCTGAGGGGGACTCGGCTGTCAGTCACACACACAGCTGGAGGCACATGATGGAGGGGCTGACTTCTCCCTGCCTGGAGTGGACTGAACTAGAACCTGGTACCACGACTTCATGCCTTCCCCTCCTCCTCCCTTCAGAGGCGCAGTGTTTAAAGAAGTGCAGTAGAGTGTACTGTCATAGCTTCCCCCAAGTCGAGAGCTGTTTCTTGGGACACGTGTGGCTTTGTTTAGATTGTTCCAGAATATACAGAAGCATCTGGCAACATGTATTTTTCTCTGTTTGTCCCCATGAAGAAGGACGTCTCTGTGTCTGTCTCACGTTTTCGTAACTTTCCTGGCTTCGTTCCATGATAAGAGTCTTGTAGCTGCTGAGACCAGCAGCGCCCAGTTGTATAACGAAGGAAGGAGTTGTGATCCCGTCGTTTAGGTGGGATTGTTGGAAAAACTTTTAATGATTTCTGACATTCAGAATGGCTTAAAATTACTTTAAATCTTTATAATTGTTGAAGCATCAATTTTGTATAGTAAATGTATTAATAAAACCTCTCCGCTTTCTCCCTTCAGAAATGGGCGGTATATTTTATATCCCTTTAATGTACATTTGCTTAAGAGGAAGGGAGAGAAGAGAACAAAGACCAGTGTGTGAGGGTTCTGTCACCAGGGCGATGGTAGTAAGTTCCCTGGTGCTTGTGTGAAGAATGCCCTCTGACATAAAATCATGTGGGAAGTATCCCAGGACACCATATATCTGGAGAAAAGTTAGCCACAGAGCATTGCACGTCACAGCTGCTAGCCACGCCCACATGCTTGTGACATGTGCAGGTCTGATCCATGTTCAGAGATGCTATACTTAGCAGCTATGGGAAAGGTGACAGTGCGCCTTGTTCCTGCTGTACTTTGGAACAGCAGATCTTGGACAAGGGCTCGTTTGTGTGCTAGGGAATGTAGGACAAGATAGAAATTAGGGGAAAGCATGGAGTCTATGTCTGAAGACACCGTAAGCTCTCTGGCTGCTCTCATGTGCCCTGCTGTCTTCTCAGAGACCTGTGGTGCTAAGACTCCTTTGGTTTTCCTCTTTATATCTAATAACCAGAAAGGAGATGTTTAAGTAAGGAAATAGACTTAGAAGCCAGGAACGAGCCATGGGAGAGAGAGTACTTTATACTTTTATCTTAACCTGCGTGAGCTGAGCTTGACTTGCCCGGGAAAGGTGGGAGAGCGCCCCCCCCGGTCCATTTTGCTGTGCTCTGCAGAGTTAGGAAGGTGTGAGTTATATATGAACTCTTCAAGTCTTGACTCTATCTGCTAAGTATTGCTCAGCTTCCCCGTCAAAAGTATGCAAGGTGAACGGACTATAATGGGGTGGAGCTTATGTTATGTGGAAATGAGAGCTGGTCTGAGAGGGTACATAGTGTGTGTGCTCACGTGTCCTTACATAGATTCCCTTAAAAGGCAAAGCCAGTCTTACTCGCGGTTGCCAAGGTGAGGGGTTACTGGAGCAGGGCCCTCGCAGGTTTCTGGGACACTGGTACATCCTAATTCTTGGTCTGGAGGGACTGCGGATGAAGGAAGGTCCTTGCCTTCCTACAGTGCAGCCTGACAACCATGTTTGTGTCTTGGAACCTACATAAAGGTGGAGGGAAGAGAGCTGACTCCAGAGTCCACTGACCCCCACATGTGCCCTGAGCACCCCCACCAATGAGAGATTTAATTTTAAAACTCTGGATGTGGGCCATGCCATATAAATGTATAAATATTACAGTCAAGTTGAAAAGATGGCAAAGGCTCAGGCTTTCACCAAGCAGATACAAAGTTAGTGGGTGAATAGAAGAATAGCTTCCCTCCTCCTCCTCCTCCCCCCTTCTTCCTTCTCCTCCTCCTCCTCCTCCCCTTCCTCCTCCTCCCCTTCCTCCTCCTCCTCCCCCCTTCTTCCTTCTCCTCCTCCTCCTCCCCTTCCTCCTCCTCCTCCCCCCTTATTCCTTCTTCTCCTCCTCTTCCTCCTCCTCCTCCTCTTGTTCATCTTCTTCCTGAGATTAAAGCCCCACCCAGATGATGGAGCTGCTGTTACTTTCTGGGTGTGGCTTGTCAGGCAATCTTACTAGTGTACACCCAGTGTCCTGTAGTTGATAGGGATGTTTGCTCACTGATTCTTCGACTCCTTCCCTTGGTATATTTCCAAGCCTTTACTAACATCTTGATTGACCTGAATCAAGAATTTAACTTGGGACTGGAGAGAGAGCTCATTGGTTAAGAGCACTGACTGTTCTTCTAGAGGACAAAGGTTCAATTCCCAGCACCCATGGCAGCTCACAACTGTCTATAACTACAGTTCCAGGACATCTGGCACCCTCACACAGACATACATTGCAGGCAAAACACCAATTCATGTAAAATAAAAATGAAATTGTTGAGAAAAGAGAATTTAACTGGATTTTTGTTTCTGTCTCTCACTGGTAGATGGAAATTATTTGCCTTTGGAAGCCACTGGCCTTCCCTAAGTGTAGACTTCTGAGAACTTGAGTGTGGTGGGTGGTAGGAGTTTTCTGGAACAGTGGCTTCCTTCACCAGCCTTGGGACTGATAGTTCTAGAGGAAGAGATGGGCGGCCGCTGTGTACAACTCCCACCTCTGTCTCTTGTGAATTTTCAGAGCCTTAGACAAACTGAACGGACTCCAGTTAGAGAACTTCACCTTGAAAGTCGCCTACATCCCCGATGAAACAGCCACCCAGCAGAATCCCTCCCAGCAGCTGCGAGGGCACCGGGGGCCAGGACAGCGGGGCTCATCCAGGCAGACGTCCCCGGGCTCGGTGTCCAAGCAGAAACCCTGCGACCTGCCTCTGCGCCTGCTGGTTCCCACCCAGTTTGTCGGAGCCATTATAGGAAAGGAAGGTGCCACCATTCGGAACATCACCAAGCAGACCCAGTCTAAGTGAGTATGTGGGGATGGGTGTCCATGCTGTCGTCTTCCCCTTTGTGTTTAGTGTCGGGGTGCGATGTGTGGGAACCTGGTGCCCTTCTGAAGAGAGTTGGGGACTCTACTGCACTGGGGGATGTAGCAGGAGAAGCCTTGTGATCTGATCATGCATGGCTGGTTGTATAAAACCCTCAAAGGAAGCATCATTGTTTCATGTGAATGGAAAACAAATGTCGCTGTGATGGCAAAGGCCCCTGCAGCCTACAGGGCACCGTACAGGTCACTCTCCCACCCCCAGCCAGCCTGCAGAGTCCCACCTGTCTTGTCGTGGTGTCGTTGTGGAGATGGCATTTTATCCTGGGTTGCCTTCGGTGGAGAACAGTTGGTCCCCGGGGTGGGGTGGTGGTACACACCTGTCTCAGGAGGGAGGGGCAGGAGTCCCTGGGCGGTTTTAGCTGTGTAGTGAGTTTGAAGACAGCTGGGGCTGTGTGAAACAGACAAAAACAAAAAAAAGGACTCACAAGATAGCTCGATGGAAAGCACTTAGCATGCAGGACTGCCTCCTGCATCCCATTCCTGCATCCCACAACGGAAGGAGAAAACGTGCTCCCGAGAGTTGTCCTATGACTTGTCAAAAAATTAAATTATATTTATTAATGTGTGTCTGTGTGCGTGTGCGTGTGCGCACATGCCTGTGCCCTTAACTGCTGAACCATCTTTCCACTCCTCTGACTTCTTTACATGCATACTCAGGCATACACACGTCCATACTCACATCCCTCACAATAATCAACAATAAGTAAAATTAAAAAAACATAAGTAAATTTAAAAAAAAAATCATCCTCTGGCTTAAATTTGTCCTGAAGTTAGAATGCCCCTCCCTCCCTCCCTCCCTGTCTTTTCCTTTCATTTGATGTCATTACTAATAGAATGGCTTTTTCTTGAGGATGTTTAGTGATGTTATTTGGCAGGCTTTAAGGGATTGGAGAACCCTGATCAAACATCCGAGCTCACTTTGCTGGCATCAGGCACAGCCAACCGTTGTCATTCATCACCACAGCCCCCTGTGTAGGGTCGCTGCCTGACCCACAGGAAGCCTGGCGTTGCCTGCGGGCACAATGACTGCACATGAAGTTACCAGGAGAAGAGGCTGTGTGCAAACAGTGTCTTTCTGACCCCGCTGCAGAAATGACCGGATGGTTTTACTTTTTACATTTAGCAAGAATGAGTGTTTTGTGGGATTAGAGAAACTAAGCACTTTTTTTTTGTTTGTTTGTTTTTTGTTTGTTTGTTTGGTTTTTACGAGACAGGGTTTCTCTGTATTGTTTTGGAGGCTATCGGTCCAGCCGGGCCTTGAACTCACAGAGATCCGCCTGCCTCTGCCTCCCGAGTGCTGGGATTAAAGGCGTGCACCACCACTGCCCGGCTTTGTGTTTTTTTTTTTTTTTTTTTTTTCCCCCCTGGGAATAGTGCCATGGAGCTGTGTGGCTGGGTGTGTTCCGTGACCTCTGAGGCATCCATAATCATTGATGAGGGAGACTCATTTCATTCAGAACCTGAAAGAAAGTATCGTAGTGATGGTTGTTGAGTTCACCCGACTGCTGGGACATCCTATCCTGCTCACGTGTGCTTTGAAGCAAGAGACACTGAGTGTTGGGTGCCTGTGTGCAACATTAATGATTCTAAACTCATAGTTGGTGTGTGGGGAGAACAACTGAACCATTATCTGTCAAGGCTTCTTAATTTTACTTGTGACCCCTTTTTACCTGAGAAAATTTACATATCTTACAGAAAATTCCCTGTAAGGTTCAAGTCAAGCATAATCTAAAAAAAAAAATCTCTTAAAATAATTCTTTGGGCCAGGCGTTGGTGGCGCACACTTTTAATCCCAGCAATAAAGAGGCAAAAGCACGTGGATCTCTGTGAGTTTGAGACCAGCGTGGTTCCAGGACAGGCTCCAAAACAATACAGAGAAACCCTGTTTTGAAAAACAACAACAACAACAACATAATAATAATAATAATAAATAATTTGGTATTCATGTAATTTTCCAACCAAGTAAAGATGAAAACTGATTTGGTAGTAATGAGGTAGATGCCTTCTTGGTTGCTACATAAAGAGTTAAATCTAGGCCAAGTAGCTGACACCGCAGGACACGGCGCATCTTGAGGTTTCACAGACTGGGTCAGTGCTTTGAGCACACCGCTGCTTCATGTAATATGTAGTACAAAACAGCACGGAGAATATTTAGGCCCTGCCATAGGTTGTTGGGAATTCTGTCTGAATCCCAAGCCAAAATTATTTATGATTCTTTTTTTAATGAAACTCAAATCAGCAACTAAAATCAAATTTTCCTACACAGTACCATTCAAAGACATGCCAGTTTGATGGGTGTTGAGGAATGCTGGTAGGAAAATGTTAGGTCTGTTTTTCTCAATTAAACTGTTGCGTTTTCCCAAGAGCAGAAAGCTTTGGGTGTACAGTTAAAACACTGTTCTTCACATAGTCTTGAATGTGAGGTGTCCAGGGCAGTGTTCTTAGTGTGAGGACTTACGTGCTGCAATGCAGAGGGTGCCCGTGTGCTTTGTTCAGAGCCAAGGCTGCATTGAGATCACATGATCCATTCGGAGTGCTTCCAGAAACACATCGGGTCCACTCATTCCACTTGAGACTTGGAAGTAAATTTTGACTACCATGTGTTTAAACGAAAAAAGGAAGGAAGGAAGGAAGGAAGGAAGGAAGGAAGGAAGGAAGGAAGGAAGGAAGGAAGGAAGGAAGGAAGGAAGGAAATGTGAATGCTCTTAGATGTGGTGGAGAAGGTTTATTGTAGATATTGTAGTGAACATTGTAGATAAGTGAATGAGCATAGCCAGAGACAGGGACATCTGGGAGAGTTTGGAGTGATCAGGACTGAGTTGGACCATGGGAGAGGAGAGGAGGAGAGGGCAACCAGTTGCAGCAGCCAGGAGGCCCAGAGGTACAAAGAGAGAGGGTAAACAAAATGACTGGACTATATAGGGAAGGCAGCCAGCCCCCTGGGCTGCAGAAGTTTAGGGTAAGGGATGGGGCATGCCAGCAGTACCCTGTGACAGGTAGGGACCCAACAACTAGTATCCACTTTGATATGTTAACTATGAAACCGAACAGTGTTCAGTAAACTTTTCTATTGCAGAAATCTTCGCAGCCCTCGTGTTGAGTAATGGGACCCATATGAGGTTGTAACCCACATAGTTTAAGAAGTGGGGACATGGATCAGTTTCCCTGCCTTTCATCTGGAAGTGTGGAGTGTCTTGCCTCCTTCCATCCCTTACCTTCGGGAACTTAGTATGTGGTTGCTCCTTGCATTAGCAGCTTAGTTCTTTTGTGAGCTGCTAATGAGGTCTTTCAGATAAAGGAGCTGTGGTCTAAGCTGCACTGTTTACTTAAGGCAGGCAGATGGGGGCAAAGCAGAGGGAGTGTTCGTCATATCTGATGATTCTTCTGTGGAGCTCTGCCGGTAGGCTTAATTAATTCTTGCTGTTGTAACTAATCATTACCAGAAGCCCTGTTTCTGGAATAGTCCCAGGGGAGGGTGTTGATCACCAGAGCAGCAGTCCCTTCTGAGGTTCAGAGTTTTATAACCCTCAGCGCAGTAAAAGGGTGGGATACCCCAAGGAGGGGCTGTGACCGTGTTAGTGGAGACCGCATGGCTGGTGGTGACTGGGTTTTACAATGGGTTGGGAGAATGGTCCCTGGGATTGGAGCTGTTACCTAGACACACTTTCATGCATTACATGTTCGTAGTTCTTATTGTTTCTACATTACCCTAAGTTACAGGTTTTAATTCTGAGGCAAATTCTAATAAAACGAGATGCAAGCCTTAGTTTTATTGTCTTGTTGAAGGGCTGTTCTCATAACAGTGAGTCCTTAAGAGAAGAAACTTAAAAGACCACCCAGCAGTTGTTTAGATTTCCCTGAAACATAGAGGTAGTTAATGTTCTTACAACAGCAAACTTAATTCATGGTTAATTAAAAGTGTACAAATGCACAAATTTTTAAAAGAATGAATTAGATTCTTGCCAACTCAGAGTCATTAAAGTTTTGGGCTGTTGTATCTTTATATAGGACTTCTTATTTGCATCTATTAACTTGTAACTTTAAAAAATAACACACGGGGCCGGGTGTTGGTGGCCCACACCTTTAATCCCAGCACTTGGAGGCAGAGGCAGGCGGATCTCTGAGTTTGAGGCCAGCCTGGTCTACAGAGCCAGCTCCAGGACAGCCTCCAAAGCCACAGAGAAACCCTGCCTCGAAAAAAGAAAACAAAAAGCCACACATGGTACGATTGCATATTTTCACTTAAAATGAAGGACGCTTGCTGCGTTGCCTTGGTGGTGTTTGCTCCCTGCGCTCAGTGTCCTGGGCTCCGTCTGTAGCATCCCAATACATACAGGCTGTTACTCAGCCATCACGTTTTCTGACCACAGGTGATTCTCCGAGTGACATTAGGCAGTCTCTGGAGATGCTTTTGATTGTCACAGTGGAGTGAAGGGTGCTGCTCGTCTCATAGGCAGAGGCCACAGCTGCTTCTGGATCCACAGAAAGACTGACCTTGACCTAAAATAAACCTTTGAGTGTCAGAGATGGTGACAGCCTGGGAGGGGCCTCAGCAGGTGGAACTGCGTGCCTGCGGAGCCTGGCAGCCAGAAGTTGGATGCAAGTGGTACCCAGCACCCCTACTGGGAGGGCGGAGGTGGAGGCAGGAGTCTGGCAAGGCTGCAGGCTGGCCACCCTGGAGGTCACAGCGCGGTGCAATAAAGAGGGGTCTGGCTCAGCAAAGGGGGATGGGGGGTGGGGGGAGTGAACTGATCTCCACTCCACTGCACATGTGTGCTGACAATCCACAGCAGCAATTGTTTTAGTCGATCAGCATTGTTTACAGGTCTAGAACAGAAAAAATTTTATGTATTAATTGATAAATGCATATATGAATTACTAGATGGTTTAAACATCAGTCAAGTTTACTGGTGACTTGGTTGTTGTTTGGGAGGTTTTTTTGTTTGTCTTTTTGAGACAGGAGTTTCTCTGTGTAGCTCTGCCTTGTAACTCGCTCTGTAGACCAGGCTGGACTTGAGCTCAGAGATCCCCCTGCGTCTGCCCCCTGAGTGCTAGATTTAAAGGCTGGCCACCACTGCCTGGCTTTTTTTTTTTTTTTTTAAGCCAGTTCGCCACCTCTTTAGTTCCATTCCCATGACATTTGTTGTTGACTTTATCAATGAGAAAGAGCCTTGTAAACATAAACAGATGAGTAAACTGTGCCATGGGGTGACTGGTGAACATTCCAGGTCTGAGCAGGGGACCAGCTTGGCTCTGGGCTCTGGCTCTCTTGACATGCACAGTTCTCTGTATTTCCGGCTCCTGACAGTATACGATGGCTCCGAGTATATAAAAAGGAAGCCTTCGGCACAGTCAGCTTAGGCAGAATGAGATGTCCTTGCTTGGTTGGACTGAGGTGAGAGCTCTCCTGGGATTGGAATCTGCCTGTGGGCTGAGGCTGTAGCCCAGTGCTTATTCAGTGTGTTAGTTGCGTGTCTTGTTGCTGCAACAAAACAGCTAAAGGAAGGTAAGGCTCGGGCTGGCTCCTCATTCTAGGGAGAACAGCCCTTTGTCGTGGTGACAGTGGCTGGAGCAGGAGGTGTCTTGTCACATCACATCACAGGAAGCAGAGAGGGATGAAAGCTCCTGTGTTCCAATCCCTGGGATCCCAAATCGATGAAATGGCACCGCCCCATTTAGAGTGTGCCGTCCCCAATCTGTAGACTCTCAGATACACTTGGAGATTGGCTCCATGGTGGTTCTAACCTTCATCAAGATGACAGTCACGATCGCCCATCGTAACAAGAAGCGTCCCAGGTTTGCATGAGTGGGGCATGGAGGTGAATGTCTGTGGCCGCAGCACTCCAAAGGCAGAGGCAGGAGAGCCAGAAATCAAGGGCCTTTCCCACTTTGTAGCGAGTTTAAGCCTAGATATGGCGACCCTGCCTGTAATGCACTGGCGAGTCTCCTTGTTCTCCCAGAAGCCCTGCAGCTTGCAGTTGGCTATTGAGGACTCCTTGTGGTGGGTATCCACTGACGGTCAGTTCTGTTCTCGTCCCCTTGTGCCTGTCATCAGAATCGATGTCCATCGTAAGGAGAATACGGGGGCTGCCGAGAAGCCCATCACTATCCTCTCCACCCCTGAAGGTGCCTCTGCAGCTTGTAAGTCCATCCTGGAGATTATGCATAAAGAAGCACAAGACACCAAACTGTGAGTAATGAGAGCTCGCCTGCCAAGAGGGCCCCGTGCTTGCTTGCAGATTCTGTGACATGCTCTTGGGGATCAGTGCCATCCTGACGAGCTAGTGTTTGCTGCTGTTGACGTGGTGTGAAACACTAAGTCTTTTACTGACGTTCTCACTCCCGTTCATACTTGGATATGGGACAGGCAGCAATAATGGGGAGAAGAGCGGTTAGAAGAAGGCAGCCCCACCACCGAGGGCCAGGAAGTAATTTGGGATTCGCCCAAGACCTTTACCGGCATGGACTGTGAAAGCCCCTAATTCTGTCTAAGGGCAACTGGAGATTGATTCGGGTGGTGCAGGGTGGAACTCAGAGTGTCTCTGCTGTCAGAGAGTTAGGTTGGCTTCTGTGCCGATGGATGTACTGAACACAACCCAGAGCAACGCTCAAGGAGGCCCTGGGACCACACAGCCTTTATTCACTTTGTAAAGTATACTTGTGTTTAGCGATGGGCGTTTTCTAGTATAGAGAAAATAAAGGGGAAGCCCAGTATCTTGGAGCCCCCCAGTGACATTTGAAAAGCGTGGTATGTAACTTAGAAATTCGGGAAGGGGTACAGCGCCTGCTGTGTAAGCTTGAAGACCTGAGCTTGGGTCCCTAGACCCATGTCAGAGCTGGTGTGCTGGTGGCATTTGTGTGTCTCCAGAGGTGAGGACGTAGAGACAGCAGACCCTGGGGTTGGCAGGCCAGCCAGTCTAGCAATCAGAGCTCCAGGCTCAGGGAGAGACCCTGTCTCAGGGGCCAGATGGAGAGTGACACAGCGACTTCTGGCCGACATGCGTGCACTCGTGGGTGGGTGTGCCCATGTGTGTGTGTGCCCACATGTGTGTGTGTGCCCACGTGTGTGTGTATACACTCACACATCACCTAAACACAGAGAGAGGGAAAGCCGAAGGCACAGAGTACAGTTAAAGCTCCGTTTCTGCTGCTGTAGTCGCCCCAAAGTTGAGCGGTTGAGCTTCTAGTGCTGCTTTTTCTCCGGGTGTGTGTTCTCAGGGCTGCCCTGGGATGGCGCTGCTTTGACTAAGACCCCATCACTGAGTGTAGGTACTCCTGATGGGAGGAAGAGAAAACCTTCCTTAAAGATGAAGTCCCATGTAAATACCTGCTGCTGTTTACCCACCGACCTGCATGCGTTGCTGGAATGGGGGTTCATTGCCAGCTCACTCTAAACTGGAGGCAGCATAACATCTCTCATCCAGTAGTTAGGGAGTAAAGGTTTAATGAAAGAACACTGTCTTTTTATCCAAGAGTAATTTCTCTGACTTGATGACCATTTTTCTACTTACAGCACAGAGGAGATCCCTCTGAAGATACTAGCTCACAATAACTTTGTCGGCCGTCTTATTGGTAAAGAAGGAAGAAACCTTAAAAAAATTGAACAAGACACAGACACTAAAATCACAATATCTCCGTAAGTGCCATCTTGCTTGTGAATTAGGGGGTGTTCAGGTCCCGTTTTTTAAGCTGTGTGTTTTGTGCACTGTTCCCTGCTTACATCTCTTTCGGCTCTGTCAGGCCGAGAGCCTGTTCCTCAGTCTGCCCTGTTCTACCATCTTGAAGTATGTGTTCTCAAAGAGGTGGTAAGGAGAGCTTAACACTTGACATGACATTCTTTTTTTTTTTTTTTTTTTGATATTCATTTCCCAAGTCAGAATGTAGAACCTAGTTTGTTTTCCTCTGCTGTGTTATGAACTTGTCCACTGTTGACAGCTGAATAATCAGCACATGGCTTGTTGTATGGGTTAGGGACCTACAAGCAACTCAGGACCCAGCGTGGGGCCTGTCCCCAGGGCTGCTCTAGAAGCTCCTCACCATGGAGTTCTGCCTTCTCCTGGAGGGAGGGAGCCAAGAAAGAGAGGGGCTGGGAGCTGCAATATCTTTCATGATGAAATCTCAGAATTCTCACACTAGCTGTTTCCTGTACGGTTTGCACAAGTCAGCCCTGTTCCACATATATAGGGACTGTAGATTTCTTGGCAAGAGGCATAATTTTATAGATGGGCTATCACACCTAGGGTATGTATATACCTGCTGTGATAATAAGGAAAAGGTTTTCTTTTTCTGGGATGAAGATCCTTGGTTTCTATCATGGGACTCCAGAAATGGCTGATGAACTGAAAATGAATGTTAAAACTACAATGTAAAATACTCAACAGGGACAGCTTGAGAGTAGAGGTTCAATGTGCTTGTGCTTACATATATGCCTACATAGTCTAAGGAAATTTAGACTCCATATAGAGCTCATCTCTTCATTACATGATTTACATTTTGTACAAATGTGAGGTAAAGGAATGATATCCCATCCTTCTGGCTCAAGGTTAGTCTCCACCATGTTCCTAACAGTGAAAATGAACTCTGAGGACATAAAGGGCGGTTGTGTCCCTGCCCTCTGTCCTATGAGTCTAGGTACATAGCCTTGTCCTGTGGTAAACACTGGTTTTTCTCTAAGGCTTCTGAGGACTGTAGGCTTAGGTGCATCCAGATCGAATTTCTCATGGCTTTGAAGCTTCAACGGGACCTGGGCTAAGCAAGGAGTTTTCTAATGTTGTTGTCCGTTTAGGGGTATAAATAGGGTCAAATTGGACCATTTAAAAAATTTAGTTGAACTGGCTGTGCTGCACACCTTTAATCCCAGCTCTCGGGAGGCAGAGGAAGGCAGATGTACAGGCCAGCTTGATGTACAGGGTGAGTTCCAGGACAGGACAGAGAAACCCTGTCTTGAAAGAAACAACAACAACAAAATAAGTTAATTAAATAACTCATTAACTAAAAATTTTTTAAAAATATTCAAGATGGCTTGATTTATGTTACTTCCTTCATGCCTCTTTATTCTAAATTCTGAAAATACTGTAGAAAACAAGTTCCATCACACAAATGCTGATTTGCTCCTGGCGAGTGTCTCCCTTGCTTACTGCAGAAAGTGCACCTGCACAAGAAAGCTGGTCTGCTTAGAGCTGGCCGGTGCAGAGGAGGAGCTTCCTGGTAGCACCCTACATCCTTCTGACCTGTCCTCAGTTCACTGTCAGAGTGGTCCAGAAGTACGGCACGGGGGCTGGAGAGATGGCTCAGTGGTTAAGAGCACTGGCTGCTCTTCCCGAGGTCCTGAGTTCAATTCCCAGCACCCACATGGCGGCTCACGACTGTCTGTGACTCCAGTTCCAGGGGATCTGACATCCTCACGCTAATACACATTAAATAAAAAACAAACCGAAACTAAAAGAAAGGGGGGGGAAACTGTGTTTTAAAACATGGGTATAGTGAAACGGTGTGCCCACTCATTGAAAGCATGGGAAGGAAGTTGTTCCAGATCTTGGACTTGGGTCTTTGGGGTTTGATCTGTCATAGTCTCATGATGAGGGCTCTGTCATTTGGTTTCAGTTACCACTGGGGACTGAGTGACACTCACCCATCTTCCTCCTGTCATTCTTGTTCCTTCTCCTCTTCCACCCACAGATTGCAGGAGCTGACGCTGTACAACCCCGAGCGCACCATTACCGTTAAAGGCAATGTTGAGACGTGTGCCAAGGCTGAGGAGGAGATAATGAAGAAAATCAGGGAGTCTTACGAAAATGATATCGCGTCCATGAATGTTAGTTCTGATGGAGAGTTAAATGATGGCTTTTACTGCATTGATTTTTCACTTTATCATGGGAAGTGGTTTGAATAGGTTGTCTGCACCATCCCACATACTGTGGGTAACACAGAAGCCTGGGCATTGGGCTCAGCTGTCCCTGTGATTTCTGACAAATTAACTTTGAGCCTTTGGCTTCTTGATGCAGGAGAAATGATTAATACTTGCCTACCAGAGGCTATTCATTATCCTTTCCTGTGTTAATTTGAGGGGCCCCAGTGCAGGAAGGATGTGAGGATTGGAGGAAGGTGAATTAGTTTGATTCCTGCCACCGTTTGTGAGTGGCAGCTTTCTTCTCTGTGTCAGATACCCGCTGTCTCCTATTTTACATGCTTCTTGAGGATTACAGCACCATACATGTAAAAGTTACTGTTAGAAAAGCAGGCTTCAGAGCTAGGCAGTGTAAAGCAAGCCCAGCAACTTGGGAGGCTGAGGTGGATGGGTTGCAAGTTCAAGGCCACCCTGAGTGATTTAGGAGGGCCAAGTCTTAAACATAACAATACAGGTTCAGGGCTGTGAGTGTAGTGTCTGTGCCAGAGGGCTTGCCTAGCAGGCCTCAGCTCCTGCTCTGCAGAATAATAAAACAAAGCAGAAACCCCGGTCTGAGCCTTACTGTGTTGGCCATATACACCTGGCGAAGAAGATGCCGCGTGACAGATGTAGAGAAGGTGCTGACAAGGGATACTTCAGAAGTCCATCCTTTAAAAGGTGCTCCTTAAATGTGAGGAGGGATCCGCCAGACCTCAGTACAGCCATCCATATGAAATAGTAATCTGAGAAGGAAATGGGAAGAACCTGGAGTGTGCTGGTCATTGTATCCCGCATGGTGGCCTGCTGTCTTTACATGATTACTGCTTACCTAAGTGTCCCGTACCTGACAGAATTAGTCCATCCCCATCGGCCTTGTGAGCAATATCAGATGCACTCCAGTTCAGTCCTAGTCTCCATCTTTTTCAGCTCTTATAAAATTAGGGCTGGAGAGATGGTTCAGTGCTTAGGAGCACTTGACTGCTCTTCCAGAGGATCAGGGTTTGATTCCCAGCACACATGGGGCCGCTCACACACATCCTTAATTCCAGTTCCAGGGAATCTAGCACCCTCTTCTGGCCTCCGTGAGCATTGCATGCACATGGTTCACAGATACACAAGCAAGCAAAACACCCACACACATATACTAAAAAGAGGGGGCGTTAAACCGGAGCGGTGTCCACCCCTTCCTGTGTCCACCCCAAAGGTGTGCTTAGTTGTGTGCTTGCGGTGTGAAGAAGAGAGGTTTGAAGGATTCGACTACAGGGGGAGGAGTGAAGATCTTTACACGGCTTGTTCTGTGTCCCTGTGGTTTCTGAAAGTACATCTCACTCAATTACCTTTCAGCTAGTGTCAGACTTCCAGGCTGTGTTTGTGGAAGGCCCACAGTATGCAGAGCGCCTGTCTGTCTCAAGTGCTCTAAGCTGCTGCCCTTTGAGGCTCCTCAGTACAGATGAGGGTCAAGGCGGGGCAAACGACCCTCGATGCTGAGTTCTGTGGGAACACCTGCTGTGTTCAAAAACGGGTCTTCGTGCGATGTTTCCTCTCTTTATTAGCCAAGAAGTCACAATATGAACACTGTCATGTATAAGTGCTCACTCCCTTGAGGGTTCTGATTGAAAATTAAGGGACCCCTTTGCCATTGCAGCTTCAAGCACATTTGATTCCTGGATTAAATCTGAATGCCTTGGGACTGTTCCCACCCACTTCAGGGATGCCGCCTCCCACCTCAGGGCCCCCTTCAACTATGACTCCTCCCTACCCACAATTTGAGGTAAGCTCTCTGGCCCTTGCCACGTCACTGCTGCCCTCAGAGCTAAACGATGTAATGTGCATGCCAAACTGTATGCTGTGTGAGCTGTCACCTGTGTGGAGTTCGAGTGTGCTTCGAAGCACTTGTCGATGGAAACTTTTAAGTCGACCCCAGAATAACAAGCACGGCTTGTTTTGAAGTTTTGGGGGTGGGTAGAGTTGTGTAAATGTGTCATTTCAATTAAAAAAAATAGCTTTGGTGGGGTTGTTTTGTTTTATCTTTTGGTTCAGTACTAGGGTCAAGGCTGCTTTTCTTGGGACAGAGGCTCTCCGCCATCCTGATACTGCAGCCTTTTTTTTTTTTTTCTTTTGGTTTTTTTTCGAGACAGGGTTTCTCTGTGGCTTTGGAGGCTGTCCTGGAACTAGCTCTTGTAGACCAGGCTGGCCTCGAACTCACAGAGATCCGCCTGCCTCTGCCTCCCAAGTGCGATACTGCAGCCTTTTAACACAGCTCCCCGTGTTGTGGTCGAGAGGATGGGAGGCAGTAAAAGACACCAAGACCAAGTTCTCAGGACAAAGGAGATTCATTTGCCCCTCGGAACCAAGGACTGCCTCTGGATAGAGAGGAGGCAGACATAGCCCATAGGCAAATGGTAGTTTATAAGGGGAAAAGGGAAACCCTGTGTTAGGCTGAGTTGGTTTGTTTTGATTGGGCACATTAATTGGGTAGCCAAAAGGGGCTTTTGATTGCTGTACTTCAGTACTTTGATGGCTGGGCTTTGGTAGTCAGCCTGGGAGAAGTGGCAAACTAAGGGAATAGGCCTAGGTGCTTACTTTAGGAATGTAACCAAACAGTTTTGCAGAGCAGAGGGAATTGGGGAATGGCAAGGCCTGCCAGAGCCTTGTTTACAGCCCTTCAGTGGTGACCCCCAACCATAAAATTATTTCTGCTGCTACTTCCTAACCGTAATGTTGCTACTGTTATGAATCATAATGTAAATATTGGTGTTTTTCAGTGGTCTTAGGCAACCCCTGTGAAACTGTCATTCTACCTCCAAAAGAGCTGTGAGCTACGGGTTGGGAACCACGGTTTTAGAGTGTTGAAGCAAAGAGGTTTTGGGAGCCATCAGTGCTGGACACAGTGTGCACATCCTTAAGTCCAGCACTCCTGCTGAGCCAGGAGGATTAGGAGGTTGAGATCAATCTGGATTCCAAAGCAAGACCTTGTCTCACAAAGAAAATCTTTTCTTTCATCTTTACCACCTAGATGTTAATTGCTTTAGAAGGTCTGGTCAGACTGTATTTGTTTTTTTGTTTTTTTTGTTTTTTTTTTTTGGTTTTTACAAGACAATGTTTCTCTGTATTGTTTTGGAGGCTATGGGTCCAGCCCGGCCTGGAACTCACAGAGATCCGCCTGCCTCTGCCTCCCCAGTGCTGGGATTAAAGGCGTGCGCCACCACCGCCTGGCCAGGCTGTATTTGTTTACCTTTGAGCTTTGCATTTTCCTAGTCGGTGAACCCAGTTAGTTTCCTTTGCGTTTCTACTGTGTTCATTACAGAACACGGAACATCTTATATTGTATTTATTGAGGCAGGGATTTTTAAACTATGTTTCATGTGCACAAGTATTTTGCTGACTTGTACCCATGGATGTCAGAAGAAGGATGTTGGATCCCCCAGCACTGGAGTTTTTTAATGATTTATTTTTATTTTATGTGCATTGATGTTTTGCCTGCACATATGTCTACTTGAGGATGCCGGATCTGCTGGAACTGGAATTACAGACAGGTGTGAGCTGCCACGTGGTGCTGGGAATTGAACTTGGGTCCTGGAAGAGCAGCCAGTGTTCCCAACCACCGACCCATCTCTCCAGCCCCCAGAACTGGATTTATAAGTGGTTTTGAGCTACCATGTGGGTGCTGGGAATTGAACTCAAGTTATCAGGAAGAACACATGCTCTTAACCACTGAGCCTTCTCTCCAGCCCTGAGACAGGACTTATTTCTTTAGACAGACTGACCTCATACTCACTGTCCTCCTACCCTGCTTCTCCAGTGTTGGGAACCATCATCTTTTCTTAAGTTTTGATATCTGATTTTGGAGAATACCTTTGCAACCCAGAAGACATCCATCCAGAAAAGTAGAACGCCGTTCAGTTTTCAGTCATTAGTATCCAACATTCTAGGGTCGCCCATGATGAATTTACTTTCCCATTTGTTTGACTCTTTTTTTTTTTAATATTTTATTTATTTATTATGTATACAATCTTCAGCATGCCAGTAGAGGGCACCAGATCTCATTCAAGGTGGTTGTGAGCCACCATGTGGTTGCTGGGAATTGAACTCAGGACCTCTGGAAGAACAGTCAGTGCTCTTAACCGCTGAGCCATCTCTCCAGCCCTTGTTTGACTCTCTTAATACATGAAATATGTGAATGGTAACTCCCATGTGCACTCAAAGATGTTCAGGTGTTACAGGTCAAGAATTTAATTGTGTTACTTATTACCCTGATTAAACACACAAGTAAATTGACATTGGCATTCTTCAGGCAACACCAATTACTAGACTGTTGGTGCTCTACCAATTCAGAAATGAGAACTTCCTTTCTGTTCTTGAGCCTATTAGGCTGATAAAGTATTGTGTAAGCTGTCTCTAAAGTATTGTGTAAACTGTCGCCCTCTGGTGTATGTTTCTGCTTTTTACGTGACTAAGCCACGGGGAGCAATCCAGCAAACATTGTTTCTCTCCACGACCTCTGCTCTGCCTGGATTCTGCCTCTAATCTTGTATCTTTCTGTGCAACTGTCCTGGGATATGTAGTTGTTTGGACTAGAAGTTATGTAACAAATCCACGGAAAGCTTTCACAATGGCAGCTAAATAAACACTCGTATGTGGTAACTTGCACCTATACCCTTAGCTACTTGGGAGGCTGAAGAAGGGAGAATCATCCTAGGCAAGCTAGAGAGTTTATGTCTCCAAAAAATGGATACAGAATGGCAATGAGATACCATTAACTGAAGCCTTCAGGTCAGGTAAAGGTACTCTGTGAAGTAGATGGCAGGTTTGTGCCCCGAGAGTAGTCTTGGGGAAAGATGCTTACAGTCACCCCAGGTGTAGCCTAGTTCTGTGAATCTGTGAAGGTCAGGCTCTTCACTGCCCTGGGTCTGTTTTCACAAAACCTGCTGGAGGGGAGGCATGATGCGCCACAACGGGACACTTATAATCTCGGCCTCCAGTGGCTGAGACAGCAGGAGAACTGCTGGGAGCTCTGGGTCAGCTGGGAGTTCTGGGTCAGCTGGGAGTTCTGGGCTACTTGGTGGAGCCAAACAATCCTGGGCTACAGAGTAAGACTTGGACTTGAAAGCAAATGTGGAGGTTGGAGATCTGGGTTGCATGAATGATCTCTGAAGACTTTCCTGTCAGACATTTCTTTTGTCTGCAGAACTGAGTGATGAGTATATTGATAGTAGGTGATGAGTATATTGATAGCAGGGTGAAAGGCCTAAAATAGAAACCCAAGAGTGCACTAAGTCAGTAATTGTGCTGGTTAGAGGTTGTTTGTTTTTTGTCAACTTGACACAAGCCAAGGTCTTTTGGGAAGAAAGAACCCAATTGAGAAAATGCCTCCATCAGATTCACCTGTGGGCATTCTCTTGATTGGGAGATTGATTGGGAGGGCCTAGTCCACTGTGAATGGTGCCTTCCAGCCCGGAAGTGCTTCTGAGTTGTATAAAAAAGCAAGCTGAGTGTGGGGGTCTCCCTCTTCATGTGGTCTGTTGGTGCCACCAGGCCACAAGGAGGGCTTTGTGTGGCCTGTGAACACGACCGAAACAGCTGTCGAGAGGCAGCTTCGGTGAGACATCTCAACTTTATTCGGTGTCAGAGGCCTGGACTAAGATAAGTCAAGCGTCCGGGCTCAGGGGCAGTCTCCAGATAAGGTCAGCAGTGAGTAGTAAGCCCGTGCCGGGGAAAGGGTGTCCTCCATCTTGTGTTGAGCTCAGCAAGGGCTATCCGGACATGGTGGGCTGCAGCCTTAGTCCAGCAGGTCTCCCCAACAGCTGAGCAAGCCACTGGGAGCTAGACAGTAAACTGTCCCTCCATGGCCTCTGCACTTCTTGCCTCTAGGTTCCTGCCTTGAGTTCCGCCCTGACTCCTTTCCTGATACACTGTGGTCAGGGTGTGTGAGCCAGATATGCTTTTCCTCTTTGTGCATTTTGTTTAGGGATTTATTACCACAATAGAAAGAAAGCTAGGTTGGGGATTGGTACCCTCTCTCCTATCTCCTCAGATACCAGGACTCGTGCAGTGAACATATACATACATCTAGGGAAACACTCGTACACATAAAGTAAAAAAGCAAAACAACTTTCAGTCTTCTAAGATTTACAAATAAAAGATCATAACTGCCCTCTAGATTTAGTCATTTTTTTTCCAGATTAATGTTGTGGTTTTAAAACATCATACATTTGGTTTAACGGGCCAATGTTTTAGGCATGTGAGCTAACATTCACGGTCTTCATTCTGAATCCCGTTGTAAGTCTCTAGAGTAAAAGCTCACCGGTGTCCTACAAAGAACACAAGCAGCTGAGATGTCTGTGATAGGTCCCCATGGGAACAGGCCTGTCCTAAGCCACATTAAATCTTAAAGGTGGCTTACACAATTAGTTTTAAGAATGGGAAGAGGCCGGAGACGCTTGGCTAGATGTGATACTCTGCTAAATGTGAGCCAAGTAAGTGCACGGATGACCACAGAGGTGAAGACCTTTGCTTGCGCTGGGATGAGGGATGAGGTTGCAGCTCAGAGGTTGGGTACCCAGAAGCTGCTCGAGTAAGGTAGGTATTGCTGCAGGGCAAGAACCGAGGATGGCTCCAAGGACAGGCAGGGCAAGCACTCATTCCCATGGGGACCAAACGTGGACATTTAAGCTGCTCGTGCCCTTTGCAGGATGCTGGTAAGCTTTTCCTCCCCACGCGTTGGTGAGATGGAGCCCTTGGTGTATGTGGACATTTCTACAAAATGTAGGA